ATATAGTCAGGCTTTAAATATGGTCTAATGGCTAAACCCGGTTTCTGGGACCTCTCCACGGTAATCCTCATCCACATGGTGGCACTTGTGTCATCGGGTGTTTATCGCTTGTGTGATGTTCTAGTGAGGTAAAAATCTACTACTACTACAACTACATTACTGCAGTTCTCTTGTCATCCCTTTTACGGATGCAATTTTTCGTTATTTGAAGCCCTACTCTGGCTCTTGCCAGGGGTCGCAATATAGCCCGGCCATAAATATGGTCTAAAGGCTGAACGTGGTTTCTGAGACCCCTCCATGGGTGATTCTCATCCACATAGTGGCACTTTGTGTTATCGGGTGTTCATCGCTTGTGTGATGTCCTGGTGGGGTAAAAGTAGATAGATATGTTACATTACTTAGTATGCTATTTTTTTTTTTAAATAACACTGTGTTGCCAGTTCTAAAAGTGGACAATAATGATAGGGAAAAAATCAAAACAACATAAAGAAAATGTTTACGGTTAGTTGCGTATCCTTCACAGGACGTTGCAGAACCAACCCCAACAGCCCCTGGCTATTGTGTGGATTTTCTAGGCAAATTCACGTCCAATAGTTTGCCATGGCTTTCTGGACGATCGGCTTTCTTGATACCAATGTCGAAACCAACGCAAGGCACATGGCCCGCAGCTGGGATCGAACCCGGCATCCTGGCATTTCGAAGAGTTCGCATCGATAGCCACAGAGCCGACACATGTTTACGACCAATTTTAAAATAACTATAAGAGACATGATCATAAATGATGGCATCAGGAAAGCAGTTGGGTCGGAACCAATTCTGAACTACATCAAGAGACAGTAGATCAACTGATCTGAACATGTGTCACGACTACCACCAGATAGTGCACCACCGAGTCCTGTCTCATGGACATAGCGGAAGCAGAACTAGAGTTCGACCACACAGGCGATGGGTAGGTGGAATATCAGAAGCTGTATATACCAGCATCTACGTATCAAGGCTCGCTTCTTCAAATCCTGTCGTTGAAAGGCAGAACAGCACCAGAGAAGAAGAAAAAGAAGAAGAAGAAGAGGAAGAGGAGGAGGAGGAAGAAGAAGAAGAAGAAGAAGAAGAAGAAGAAGAAGAAGAAGAAGAAGAAGAAGAAAGAAGAAGAAGAAGAAGAAGAAGAAGAAGAAGAAGAAGAAGAAGAAGAAGAAGAAGAAGAAGAAGAAGAAGAAGAAGAAGAAGAAGAAGAAGAAGAAGAAGAAGAAGAAGAAGAAGAAGAGGAGGAAGAAGAAGAAGAAGAAGAAGAAGAAGAATAAGAAGAAGAAGAAGAAGAAGAAGAAGAAGAAGAAGAAGAAGAAGAAGAAGAAGAAGAAGAAGAAGAAGAAGAAGAACAAGAAGAAGAAGAAGAAGAAGAAGAAGAACAAGAACAAGAACAAGAACAAGACGAAGAAGAAGGAGTATGTTATTATACACAACTCTTTACTGTATGTGGCCCTTACAATCGCTGATTTTACTTTTTCTACGTAACGTGTTGCTTAGAGAACAAATAAATCAACAGTTCGAATTTGGAAAAAAAAAAAAAAATACATCTTAGTTTGGGGCGGATTTGAATTGAACTAGACAGATGCAGCGCAGACCGCTAAAGGCGATCTCGGATGTGGCGAATTTCTGTTGCGGAAAACATGTTGTTTATCTCATGCACTTTTCCTTGCTTGAATTCTTATCTGGAATAAGAGGGATTTCTGTTAAGAAGAACCAATTGTTAAGTCCCTGGTGAGTTTTGCTTATCAGGTCTGCCCCATACTAGACAAGGGCACTGACACAAAGAAAACATTGAGCCTACTTAAAATTGTTTAGTGTGCTGGCTGCACTCAAGAGGCTTCATCCTTGTTTAAACTTGCAATAAAAAAATAATAATAACAATCACAGTAATTTTTATTATGCGCTCAGTTGCAAATTAATACATTACTACACCAACTTGATGCACCCTACAGTCCTTTGCGGGTAAAGGACGTAAGCTCATGTTGAACAGTTGTCTTTTTTCCTGACTAATATCCATTTTCTGTTTTCACACGTGTCCTAAAACTTCCACTTATCAGAGAAGCATGAGGATTTTTCATGGATAGACCTCAGATAAGTGTTTTTGTGTATTCTTGTTTGTAATTTTAACGCTGTTTATTCTTATCCTTTGCTGATGAAGGCTTTCTCGCGACAGTGTTCATTTGTTATTTGTGACTGTGATAATGTGAAGCTGACTGAGGCCCTGCTAGGGTATATTTTCTGCCTCGATAATTTGAAACCGTTATTCGGAAGATAGCAACTAGTTTTACTTTTCGTTAGGTGTGATTTATTTTTCAGGACACTGCAAATAACACACATTTATATATAATTTCACAATAATATATTAATGAAACGGCAAAACAATAGAAATCGCTATATAAATCAATGTTTGTGTGTTTGTTTCACCCCTATAGACTCGGAAACTACTGAACCGATTTAGCTGAAATTTTCAGGATATGTTTGTTGTGATACCGGATTTTGAACTGTCGTGGTTTGAAATTTAACCTGTCACTGTTAGAGATAGGTGACCACAATTTATGCCATAATATACGCAACTAATATTTATAACTTTAGTGATTTCTAATTATAGCCACGTTAGTAATTGCGCATGCGCCGTGCAGCCAACACCTCTCTCTAATACATAGAGTAGGTCATGGTACAGCAAACAAGACTATATCTATATCTGTGCAGGCAGTGATTGCCACAATAACTATATTAGACACGATTTATATTTTCTGTTTTTTTTTTTTCAAACATCCTTTGATGAGTTGAAAAGTAGCCGATGGATTGGTAGGGAAAAAGAGGGAAGGGGGGAGGGCATCAGGGACTATCTCGACGTCTGCGCAGACATTAACTGCGATATTAACCGTGTTGGACACGTGCGATTTCTTTTGTTGTGCCGTTTCATTAATATATTTGGAATATCTGTAAATGAGAAAACAATTGCCTGCTGTTTTGAGTTGTGTTATAATCGGGACACTGCAGACACTTAAAATAGTTAATTTCTCTTTTCGTTGATACGATTAAGTGGCTGCTTGGTCGAATGGTTAGAACACTGGGTTCCTGTGCGGGAGACCAGGGTTCGAATCCACAGTAGTTAATTTATTATTTTTACCCCGGACTAAAATAATATCCTCATCTGCTCTGTCGTGGTGACAGCACTAGCCATATTGCCTTAATACTTAAAAAAAAAAAAAAAAGTAAATGGGTAAACCATTTGATAATTAAATTTGACAATTTCGCATAAATTATGATTGCATTTTTAAACTTTCCGATTGCATGGTTACGCTGAAATTTCATAGATTTCCATTTATTTTCATTTAGATTTAGTTATTTTATCTGCGTTGGAATTTTAAGCTTTGCTGTTTACCATGGCGTTCATTTCCTAATGATGGTGTTTTTTTCCTGTGTTCATTTGCTTTTCAAGCTTTTTTTCCCCTCCTAACTACTTCAATGAGGAAAAGAGTTGTCGGTGAATTTAGGGGGGGGGGGGGGGGGGGACTATTAACTGAGCGAGCTTCAAGTCCCAGTAACTGCTTTGCCCACTTAAAGTAGCAGCAGCAGTAATAGTTGTGGTTGGGCTGTTACACCATAGTGCTCTCATGTGAAGACCGCCGGTAAGGTTATGGCGTTCTTCTGTCGGGAAGTGAAATTATACATCCTAACCTGACCAGTCTGTGGCGACAGCACTAGCCTTGCGGAACCAAATCTTCTGGCTCAAGACTCTCTGTCTACTCCGATGGTAACACAGATAGCAGTGACATTATTTTAGCTACTGTAGTGGTGGTCGTGGTAGTAGTTGTACTGGTACTTGAAGGACGATGTCGTAAATCTTACACTAGCTGTACCCGGCCATGCGTTGCTGTGGCATAGTTTGGCTAAATGGAAATGAAAGAAAATAGAAATCGCACGTGTCTAATACAATCATTGTCTGCTCAGATATAGAGATAGTCTTTGATCCCCACCCCACCACCCCCACCCCCAACTAAATCCACCTACTACCCTCCCCTTTATCAAATTTATGTCATTACCCCTCCTCCCCTCCCCTCTTCCACCGACTACTGCTTTCTCCCTCTTCGAAATATTTGAAAATCATTACCTGGCGATATTTTTTTGTTGCTGTAACTGACGTTGACATCACTGTCCATCTGGACTAAAATGGGGAGCAGGACAGTTCAAAATCCGGTATCACAACAAACATATCCTGAAAATTTCAGCTAAATCGGTTCAGTAGTTTCCGACAGTTCAAAATCCGGTATCACAACAAACATATCCTGAAAATTTCAGCTAAATCGGTTCAGTAGTTTCCGAGTCTATAGGGGTGAAACAAACACACAAACATTGATTTTTATATATATAGATTTCATAAGATAGCAACAAGCGGTATGCGCGCTTAATAGGTAGAAAGCGTTCTAAAATCGCACCTTACCTCCATCATTTGGATCTACACACCTGCAGGCGTAAAGGGTAATGAGCGAACGAACCAACTGGCAAGCAATGCATCAACGCATGTGGGAAGAAGCATGGACAGAGCAGATATTATTAACACTGAACGGACTGGTGTAGTAGATAATGACGAATTTCGGACACTAACACGATTACGTGACAAGGGCATACAGTATGGTGAAGCACGTCTATGCTACCATCGAGGCCAAGATAGAAGACATTATAACCAACTTCTCATGGGAACAGTTAGTAGAAGTACCTTGGATTGGTTGCTGCATCGGAAGACTGAGCACGCGTGGGAACACTCAATGTCCAGTGACATTGATTGTGAAACATAACACAGCATAGTATTATTTCCGAACACCTTGTGGGAATTTAAAAAAATAAACTAATGGAACATTAACAGTTTAAGAAACTTATCGACCGGGTCGCTACAACAGTAAAAGCAAAAGTATCTTGATAATAAAAACAGTATAATCGTTAATATTAAAAATTCTATATAAGTATATTCGTTATTTGTAACTTTCTTCTAGTGAGTTATAACTTTCTGAAGACGTAATTATATTTTGCAGCTCGGAATCCGCAGATGGATTAAGGGAGTACCACCGTGTAGAAAGCCACAGTCTAAACTTGTATAATCCATGAAGGAGAAGTTGCCAGGCAGTGCTCAGCATGATCCCGAGAACACAAGTGCAGACTGTCTCCACCGGAGCTGCCCAGTTCATGAAGTAGTAGGTTCGGCCACCTGAGGAGCATGGAAAAAAAAAAGGTTTAACTCTTTCAGTACTAAGCAGGTGTTACTTTAGCTCAGTTAACTTTAAGCAATACATGTCAAGGCTGAGGACGTAGTCTAAAGCCATGTGGATGTGGAAAGCAAGGGAAAGCTACATCATTACTGTCCTAAGAAACGTGTGATAGGTTCTCAGAATATTTTGGATAAGGAAGAGGAGAAATACTGACATCTTGAAAGGTCTGAACATCAAAGAAGATTGGCTAATAAATAGCACACTGTTTCGGAAGCTGAAATATGTTGCTCATATCAAGCGCCACGATGGATTGGAAAAAAATAATAGCAGAAGGCAAGGTACCAGGAAGGAGGGGCAGGGGCCGACCAACACGAAGATGGGCACAGGATATAAGTGACTCCTTGAGTATGAAAGTACATTATGTGGGACAGCTGGCGAGAGACCGAGTTTCTTTCAGGCACACCGTGATGAGAGCGATGTTCTGCAAAGGACCTGCTTCATGATCACGATGACATGCCACAGTAACATTTTTGAGGTCATTCATCTTTGCAGTGCAACTTATGGCTGTGAGTCATGGAATCTCACCCAGTCATTCAATAAGAAAATGAAAGCTTGTGAATTGAAATGCAACAGAAAAAGTCTTAGATACCATGGACCAAAAACAAGAAAAACATCAACATCCTGCATGACCATCGTGTCAAACGCCATGGTGGTCTGAAGAAATATTTGAGGTTTAGAACAAGGGGTCAACATCATGGCACACGGGCGTAACCCATGAGTGCTCTGTTCTTCTTCTCAGTCTAGTCCGAAGTAGCTCGGCTCGGTGCACAGGCACTGTAGCACCGGCGAGGATCCTGAAATACTTTAGGTAGATTTTTAACTCCAGGCAGCGCCGTTAGTTTTCTTTGTTCGATTTCCAACTGCCAAGGAATATTTTACGTGCGCAACAATGCACACGGGCGTCTGATCTCACTACCCAGAGACCAGAGGGAATTACTAGAAGTCCAAGTCCACGTGAAAAAATCCCAACACGGAATCTCTAGCACTGGGCGCGGACACCGTGCCTCGAGACCATGCAACTTCCCTGGTCTGGCGAGAATAGTGACGGAGAGTGCAGTTTCAGGAACACGAGGCAAAGAGCCACCTCCTGAAGGTGGATACCTGACGTTGAAGATGCATTGACTATCAAAGCACATAGGGCTAGAGAACTGGCAAGGGAAATAGAAACTTTCAGACCTCCCGTGAAGAAAGCGACGTTCTGTAAAGGGCATGCTGACTGATTGATTCAACGATTGATTGATATGATTAATAAATTGATTGACTGAGCAAATGATTAGGTCTTAGGAGTTCAATATAATAAGAATTAGGGGCAGGAGTGGTTCAAGCAAATATCAGGCCAAAGTGGATCAGTGTCCCAAATGGACGGAGCACACAGAGTTCATAAAAGTATATTGTGTCATTTAAATGTGATATGCAATTTTTCGATATTAAAAGCTCCACCCTGGCTTTAGCCGGGGCCCTAAATATAGCCGTGCCATATTTTTGGGACCTCTCCACGGGTTATCCTCACCCGCATGGTGGCACCTTGTGTCACTGGGTGTTTATCGCTTTGTGTGTTGTCATGGTGGGGTAAAAATTATATATAATACACACATACGGTCTCCGTGATGAAGTGGGCAAGAAGTTTGCCTCGCGATTTGAAGGTCGTGGGTTCGTTTTACGGCAGTGCGGTTCAGTTTACTAGTGCAATTTTTACAGAGATATTTGGGGATTGTCGCTCTGAGCTATATAGGATAAAACTCTGTGCAATTAAGTCGATCCTCTTACCCTTACCCATATTCTTATCACTATTTCTGCTATTTATCCAATAGCCTAAGCTGGTATCACAGAACTGATACGTTAACCTTTAGCACCCCACAGTCGAGTATATTGGACTTCAGCCGCCCACCTCGTAGCCTCCCACAGTCGAGTATATTGGACTTCAGCCGCCCACCTCGTAGCCTCCCACAGTCGAGTATATTGGACTTCAGCCGCCCACCTTGTAGCCTCCCACAGTCGAGTATATTGGACTTCAGCCGCCCACCTCGTAGCCTCCCACAGTCGAGTATATTGGACTTCAGCCGCCCACCTCGTAGCCTCCCACAGTCGAGTATATTGGACTTCAGCCGCCCACCTCGTAGCCTCCCACAGTCGAGTATATTGGACTTCAGCCGCCCACCTCGTAGCCTCCCACAGTCGAGTATATTGGACTTCAGCCGCCCACCTCGTAGCCTCCCACAGTCGAGTATATTGGACTTCAGCCGCCCACCTCGTAGCCTCCCACAGTCGAGTATATTGGACTTCAGCCGCCCACCTCGTAGCCTCCCACAGTCGAGTATATTGGACTTCAGCCGCCCACCTCGTAGCCTCCCACAGTCGAGTATACTCGACATCTATATATGGTTTGGGAATACGAAGCCTAAACGGAGCTACGCGTGTGACCTTCTAGAGTGGTTTCACTTCCTCTTTGTCTGTTTTGATTGCTAGGAGGCCGAGAGTAGGTTTGTGTGATCAATTTTTCTGAGCCAGTTCGATTTAAGCAAGCTCACAGTAATCGTCGTGAAACTGTGTACACTGATAAACAGAGAAAATATGGGGCATTACTTACAGAAGCAGTGGTGGATTCAGGCATAAGCTAACTAAGCTGCAGATCAGTGCTTCACTATCTGCAGGGACCTCAACTGTTTAAATTTTTTGTTTACAAATGCAATTTGCGTGATGCAAAATATAGGTCTAGCACTATATGACTAAAGGCGTGGAAAAGGGACTTTTACTTTTTTTAATGTAATTTATTGTATAATAAGGCCATTCAATGATTATATAATATTATTTCTGTAATTTTGCAGACTTGTTCTTTATTACTTCTTGCGTTCTTTCGTAATATCCTTCCCCAAAATGACGTCACAGGACAGTCCAACATCTCAGAGGGTGGTAAGATTGGGTTTCCCAGCTTTCTGATGCTTTTAACAACCCCAAAACATCTAGAACTTCGCAATGCGTACAACACTTACCTACTCCAACTACATTAGTTGGTAGGGCGTTACCACTGACAATGTAGTTCATGGCACTGAAGACGACGTACAGAGAACCAAAGAAGAACGTGTAGAACATGTGGTACAGCCGGATGGGCGTGGCACTTGTCATGACGTCAGCTAAGACACAAATCGTGTTGATGGTGTGTTTGAAGCGGGACATATGGCTAGTGAGAAGGGCTGTTTAGGAGGTAGCGTGTTCAAAATATGATCAGTCAAGATAGATAATTACAAAATAAATCAACTTGTTTGGTTAGTAAGTAATTTACCCTGTTTGTAGTAGTATACTTGTGCAGTTTTTAAAGTCTCGAGGCATGGTGTCTGCTTCGAGTCTAGAGGCCCCGGGTTTAAGCACCAGTAAAGGCTAGGATTTGTTCACGTGAATTTGGACTTCTAGTAATTCTTTGTGTAGTAAGATCGGACGCCCGTGTGCATTGGTACGCACGTAAAAAATCATTTGGCAGTTGGAAATCGAAAAAAGTAGCCTAACGGCGCTGCCCGGCTAAATTTGAAGTTTCAGGATCCTCGCCGCCGCTACAGAGCTTGTGCACTGCGCTGAGTTTCTTTGGACTCAGACTTGAGTTAGAAGAAGAAAGGAGCACTTATGGATTACTACCCTGTGTGCAGTAATGTTAATTCGTTGTTAAAACCTCAATAAAGGATGTTGCGAAACTAACTCGCGAAGAGAACTGATTGCCCACATCAGGAGACAGTCTATTGCCCACATCAGGAGACAGTCTATTGCCCACACCTGGAGACAGTCTATTGCCCACACCTGGAGACAGTCTATTGCCCACATCAGGAGACAGTCTATTGCCCACATCAGGAGACAGTCTATTGCCCACATCAGGAGACAGTCTATTGCCCACATCAGGAGACAGTCTATTGCCCACATCAGGAGACAGTCTATTGCCCACATCAGGAGACAGTCTATTGCCCACACCTGGAGACAGTCTATTGCCCACATCAGGAGACAGTCTATTGCCCACATCAGGAGACAGTCTGTTGCCCACATCAGGAGACAGTCTGTTGCCCACATCAGGAGACAGTCTATTGCCCACATCAGGAGACAGTCTATTGCCCACATCAGGAGACAGTCTATTGCCCACATCAGGAGACAGTCTATTGCCCACACCAGGAGACAGTCTATTGCCCACATCAGGAGACAGTCTATTGCCCACATCAGGAGACAGTCTATTGCCCACATAAGGAGACAGTCTATTGCCCACATCAGGAGACAGTCTATTGCCCACACCAGGAGACAGTCTATTGCCCACATCAGGAGACAGTCTATTGCCCACATCAGGAGACAGTCTATTGCCCACATCAGGAGACAGTCTATTGCCCACATCAGGAGACAGTCTGCATTCTTCGGATTGTCATGAGAGGGAGACAACTGAAGAACATCGTGACGGTGGGAAAGTTGAAGCGGAAAAGAGAATACGACTACCAACTCCACAGGGACATAGACTATGGACGATAATCTGTGTGCACGAGACAGAATGTTACGGAAAGACATGGTTACCTACGCCACACGGCGTTACAGTTCATCTGCATCAACATTAATTGAAATTACTTCTCTTTTTCTATTCCACCATTTACCACAACTAGATGTTGGGAAAATGGGGGGGGGGGGGGGGGGGAGGGAGATGTAATGATCGGTTGTGCGCTTTTTCCACTGCATTTTACAAGTTAGTGTTTATATCGGTTAGATCGCTCCTGTTGATATCGTTCCATTTCTTGCGTGGTCTTCCTCTTGCTCTGTGTTAATTATATTACCTCAACGTGGCTCTATGTGGTTTTCCGGGTGCCTCAGCTTTTTATCAACTTCTATCTCCCAGTTTTGTAAGATATTTTTCGTAGGTGCACCAGGCACAAATCATTTATAACCGGCATTTGGCATCTTAACATTTTCTATGATCATAAGCGGTGTTAAATTGACAGTACACGAATCATAAAGTTGTGGATAGACATGACAAAAAACGTCATACGGCAAGGAAAATTAAAAAGAACAGTGGGATTTCTAATCATTGACCTGAGCTCTAAATCGACGCGGACTTAAATTTAAAAAAAAAAAAAAAATTTGATAAGCAAAGAGCGTCTGATACATTAATGTCAGGGGTGCTGGAACTTGCGAGGTTTGGCACCATCTGGTTAAAGAACGAAAAGTCTGAGGGGCTGGGACAGTGACGTAGGAAAGGGCTGCTGCCGCCCCCGGTGTCATCGGGGGGGGGGGGGGAGGAATGACTGACTAAATAAAAGAAATGTATATATATGAATATACATACATATATGTGACCGGCGCGCTAGTGCAGTTGACTAAACTGGACTGTGCGGCGACCGGGTGACAAACTCCTTGTGGTCCAGGTTCACGTCTGGGGGTAGGCAAAACAGTCAGATTCCTCCCAGATTTGGGTATCTATCATGGAATCAAGACCGAAGGGTTGCGATATTCGAAGTACCAAGATAAAAGGTTAACAACTCATGGTTCTTGGATATATATATATATATATATATATATATATATATATATATATATATATATATATATATATATATATATATATGGGCGGGGATGACGGGAAACACTCCGCACCGGGTACCATCTGACCTTGGTACGCCACTGGCTGGTGTGTATGGGTACCGAGGATACCAGAACATGTTCTGAGAGGTAAGCTTTGTGGTTTTGATACTGTTGATAAGGGGCGTCGATACAAACATTTCCGAGGGTAAGGGAAATGGGGTCACTGCCCCTACACATGTTTGTAAAAGCCTCGAGAAGGCTTAAACCTTGTTTAAGTGCGTAATTATATATATATATATATATATATATATATATATATATATATATATATATATATATATATATATATATATATTTATATTGCGATTAGTGGTACATGAATATGTAAACGTTTTAAAAGTAGGCTGAAATTTATATACACATTGAAACAACAGAAGTAATTTTTACGCGGCTATGAGCAATTGCTCAGCCCATTTCACATATTTTAGGGGTAGTTGAAACACGAAGGCCGCCCCCCCCCTCCCCCACACTAACTTCCACATATACACATGTTGTCTGGAGAACTTTAGTTTTACATGCACATCAATTTTACAGAGCTTGCTTATTTGTTGGCAGACTGTTGGGTCCAGGCCTCTCAGCCAACTGCCCTCCGACGAGTAAGGAAACACCCCTAATTAGTCGCCTTGTACGACATGCTTTGTAGATGGGCAGTGAGTCTATTCTTTTTTTTTTTTGGTTTGTTTTGTCCATCAAAATGTTGCCCCGGAACCCACACGTGGTTAAGCCGAGGTCAATTCTGAAAACAATCCGACTCGATCAGTTTTGAACCTAATACACTCCCGCCGAAAGGCAAGCGTCAAGCAACTACGCTACCTCTGTAGCTGGTTACCTGATACAAAATGATGAATAAACTTACGTGTATCCGGAAGAAAGGCTATAAATAACCAGTAACCGCTGGTTACAACCAGGGAGGAGTTGCTGCTAATGTTGAAGAGGATCCATTGCATCTTCAGGATAACTGGCATGACGCGTGGACTTGTGGGATCTGCAAAATAGGAGATGGACAATTGGAGCGATCGTATGCGGACGTAAGGCAAGGCGATCTTCAGTTTTCTTGAGAAAATGAAATAATGAATCTGAGCACAGGCGCTGGAAGCTGGGAGCCCAGTCACCTACCCCCAATACCCCAACCCCCCGCGCTCCTCCCCCAAAGTGACTAAGCGTTTTCGGAATAATTCACGAACTTGCCCCCACGGTGAGAGTTCCTCCCCCTCTGATTTATGCAGCGGCCCGACGCACGGCCTGTCCTATTTTCGGCGTTCGCTCGCCGTATATATTGTTTGTGAAAGGTTGTGTTGTCATGAGTCTCTCTGAGGCCCCGCAACTGCCTGTTTACAAGTAAGAAGTACTGCAGCCACAAAGTGCCGATCTGTCTATAAAACATAGGCCGTCCCTTTTGCCCAATACGCCCGAAGGCATGAAAAGGGATCCTTTACTTTTTAAGTTTATTGGATCAGTTTGGGAGCTCCAGGTCGATTACATAAATCCGCTCCAATTCTGACCGTAGAGACACATTTTTAAAACGAATATCTGGGGGAAAAAAAGGACTAACATTCAAAATGCCATAAACACATTCACTCGCCTATGATAAAAGAAGTGGTCTTTATTTGTGCTTGATGATTCAATTGATTTTCGTGGTTTCAGGAGTTCAATGAAAGCCACTGAAGAAACAGAAGCTATCGATGGATGCTTTGTCCCACCAACGTTGCTATGGGGCGTGCTTGTAATTTATTGGATTCTTGTTCAAAAGAAATTACGTGACCATTGCTTCATCGACAACGGGCAGAAACGGTAGAAAGAAAAACAAAAGGTACTGGAGCCTGCAGAAGAAGGGAAAGACTTAAAGAACAAGTTGCCTACCGTTTTAGAGTCCTCCTTTAAGACAGGCAAAATGTCCCGTCACCACCATACATTAGAAACGGGCTTCTTCTTCTCTTCTTCTTCTCTTCCACCTTGCACCTCATCGAAGTTACAGGGGGAAGATGTAAAGTTCGTTGATGAGCTCTGTCAATAGCACTATTAAGACTGATGTTCATTTCTGTAAGGCTGTTGTTCTTAATGCCATCACTCCATTTTTTCCCGAGGTTTTCCACTCGCTCTAAACTCGTTATAACGTTTTACTGTGGCTCGCCGTGGCAGATAGTTCGAGGGAATTCTTGTTAGGTGTCCAAATCTCTTAATTTTTTGTTCTTTGATGACCTGTAAAACTGGCTTTATTCCTAGGATTCATCTGATTTCGTATTCTGTCTTTCCTTGAAACTCCTGCAGTTCTTCTAAGGCATTTCATTTCTGTTGTCACAATTTTACTTTCATTAGAGGATGTAAGTGACCACGTTTGGCATTGATAGCATAGTGTTGGCCAAAAAATAGTTCTGATAAGATTCACTTTAGAACTCCGAGGTCACTGCTTGTATGTCAACAGGGGAGTTAGTTGCCCCACTACTTGATTAGCTTTGGCACATGGGCTTCTAATGGGGTAAATGAAAACCCATCAACAATAGATTTTTCAGAACAATGTGTCACTAAAAATTGCCCAGTCACAAACCGAGCAGCGCCTCCACAACAAGCATGACGTAGGTGTCGACTAATTGACGGCATCCTTCAAAGTCTGAGTACATCTGCCTGAGAGGCAAGAAGCCAAGAGTCTGCATACAAATAAACCAGATGTGTGAAACTGATGTGCACGCAACACTCATGTTCTGGAACAAGACTACAGTCCGGAGATGGATGAACACTCAGAGCTCTCCTCAAAAGTTTAAACCCAGTGAATGTGAAGAAGAAAATAACAATCATCAATATGGCATTCATCATCTTTCAGATGACTACGAGAACTTAATATTCAAAACGCAGTTGTCTGTTTGAGTACTCCGTGTCAAAGCACCGGAAGTGTTTTTATATTGACGGTTTCCCTGGCAACTTGTTACCGGTAAAAGATGTAGCGCTGTCACTAATGATCTTTTTCCAGACAGAAGACCACTTGACAGGACCCTTAAAACCTGTATCCAGTCTGTTTTCATTGTTTGCACCTTAAAGTGCATTCCAAAAATCGTGACCTCAAAGTAATTTGTCTGGTTGCCTACCCCGTGTCTAAACTCTCTTTAAGTGTTTTTATATTAAAGGTTTCCGTGGCAGCTCGTTACCGGTAATGATGTAGCTGGGTCACTAATGACCTTTCTTACACGCAGAAGACTACTTACGGGGTACTTGGGAACACTGTTGTCCATAATCCACCTAGTTTCTTAAAACATGTATGTAATCTTTTATTTTATGTACCTTATAGTGCGTCCCGAAAGTCGTGACCTCAGACTTAAACAAATATCTCATAACACCCGTACTGATGAACACGATGTTTTAAATTTGGTTTAAGATGCTTCATGTTCTAATAATTTTGTAATTTACAATTGCCCAGGTGCCAATGTTTTCTTAAAGAAGCGAATTTCTTTGATCTTTGTAGGACTAGTAATTTGTATAACCCTAAAAATATAATAGACAGTAATCGTCACAAATCTCCTAAACACAAAATGTCAGTTGTCTCTCCCCCCCCCCCCCCCCCTGTCCCCAACATTTGATAAAACTAGTTAACACCTATCTACACGTCTCCACGGTCATCATAAAAACAGTTTCTCGACCGGGGGTCCTGGTTCCTGAGGTAGCATAGAAGTTTCCTACGAATTTGTAGTACATCTGCCTTTGAAGCGAGGAACCAGCAGTCTGCACAAAAGCTAGACACTGATGTGAACGAAATATTCAAGCCCTGATCCCTGACCAAAATCAAGAAGTAGGCGAAAAAAGCAGGACTTTCGGTCGGAGTTTACACCTGGTCATTGTTAAGAAGATCTTTATTATACACCAAAATCACAACTTACATAAATTTCAGTCTATTAATGTGTTGGTCTGTGTGTATAAGGACTGCTCCTCTATTCAATACTCTGTCTGTCTAGCTTTGTCTCTTACAAGTGTAACTCCCAACTTGCATAAATGTCTGCCTATTTAGGATATATTTATCAGCAACTATGTCTGAAAGCACGATCTGCTTTTTGGAGAAAACAAAACTTCCCTCCGTCTGCTCGACTTGTACCGAGTAAACACAACTTAGTAAATCAATAGCTCAAGGGGCAGTAACTAGCCTGTCCCCAAACTCTCCGAAACCGCGGAGTTGTGCTCCCTTACCGAAGATCACCATAACCGGTCGAATATTGATGGAGAGTTGCGTGATGAAACTTTCAGTGGGGAATACAGGATGTGTCTTTTTTTTTAATGTGTGGCTCCAGACTGTATGTAGACAGTGCGTGCCCACGCACGCAGGCACGCACGCATGCAACACACACACACACACACATATATATATATATATACACACACACACACATACTCACACTAATACGCACAGCAACACCACACAAACCTACAAAAGGGCGTTCACATGCAATGGAGAACACTTGACACAGGAAGTTAAAAACAAATGTGAAAAATGTGCTCTAAATGTTTTTGTTACTGATGTTGCTGAGGGTCACCTTGGTGTCCAAATATGCAAACTCACAGATAAGCATATAATGAGAGCAGACACATATATTTTTACAGATCAATAATATAACGCCGACTGCCTTTACATTACCTTGTACCCTTTTAAGGTTGGGCCAACTGGGAGCCACAGTTATTTTTAAAGGCTAAAAGTCCCACTGCTTTCGTATTTGAACTTAAGATATTTGGATCTGCAAGAGAGCGTTTAACCGTTACGCCACGGCGGCTGAACGTAGAAAATGTCAGTGATCTGTCTGACGTCAGTGGTGTATCTGTCACATGGTGTTTGAATCAGATTTGGAAATAATCTTTCGTGGAGAAGTGCAAAGAATACGGATTAATAAACAACATAAAAAAAAAAAGTTACAGGGTAAAAGATCAAAGTGCAGAGCACGTTTTCCACGCCTTTAGGCGTAAAGGGCATATAAGACTAGACCTATATTTTTAAAGACCAATCGGCACAAGATGGGTGATGTGGGTCAGCATAACGTCGGCCGCCTTTACTTCCAAAATTAGTCGTTGATTGTGTATATACTTTACTGGAAATACTGATTGTGTATATACTTTACTGGAAATACTGATTGTGTATATACTTTACTGGAAATACTGATTGTGTATATACTTTACTGGAAATACTGATTGTGTATATACTTTACTGGAAATACTTATTGTGAGACCCAACATTTAAGAAAGTGATGAATGACACTGAACCCTCTGCAGGACAAGAGTGCATGTTACGCAATAGGATTCGCAATTGCAGCCCCCGGAGGGAAACAATTAAAATGAACGAGATGCACATTTTAAAATCCGTTAATCCTTTTAGTGCAGACCAATGAAAGGTTGGAGATTCCTTAATACTTCTGGTACAGAAAGATAAAAGGTTGGAGATTTCTTGACACTTATGGTGCAGACAGATAAAAGGTTGGAGATTCCTTCATACTTCTGGTACAGAAAGATAAAAGGTTGGAGATTTCTTGATACTTCTGGTACAGAAAGATAAAAGGGTGGAGATTTCTTGATACTTCTGGTACAGAAAGATAAAAGGTTGGAGATTTCTTGATACTTCTGGTACAGAAAGATAAAAGGTTGGAGATTTCTTGATACTTCTGGTATAGAAAGATAAAAGGTTGGAGATTTCTTGATACTTCTGGTACAGACAGATAAAAGGTTCGAGATTTCTTGATACTTATGGTGCAGACAGATAAAAGGTTGGAGGCTCCTTGATACTTCTGGTACAGACAGAGAAAAGTTTGGAGACGTATTGATACTTCTGTTACATACAGATACACAGAAATTAAGACCCCTTTGCTCCTACCGGTGCAAACCGATTCAAAGTTTAAGATCCTTTGATCGTTATGGTTCAGATCGATACAAAGTTTGAAACACATTGATCCTTCTGGTGCAGTCCGAAACAAGGGTTGAAACATCTTGATCCTTCTAGTGAGATCAACAAAGAGTTTGAGA